GCCTTGTTGCTTTCCCAAGGATTTGTCACCTGCAAACATGATGCAGAATCGACTCGCTTATTCCTGTTGATCGCGGCTTTCTCCTGCCGGCGGGAAGCTCCCAGAGCAGGGGTCTTTAGCTTCCTACTAAGGTAGCCTCATCGCCTAGACATGCCGGGGCCTAGCCAGCGCTCAGCAGGTAGACGCTGAGTCAGTGAGTAAGAGAACACGCGTGAACACGCAAGAAAACACGGCAGTGACATGTGCCCGGCTGTGGCAGCCTGAACACTGGGTCTGATGTGGCTGGTTTCTAACCCTGCACGGCAGGTCTCTACGAACGCACCAGCCCATGCCCCCTGCCTACCGGCTTCCTAAGGGGACATTCACTGGAGCCCATGCTGCCCACCCTGTTTCCTTAGACACTAGAACATTTCATAGCTGAGAAAAACCAATCGCACCATCCTCGGAGACCACAGGAGAAAGTACAGAACTCACATGCCTTGTTTCTGGCCCGGCACCAGCCGCTCACCACGCCCTGCTGCTTTGCGACCCTGGGAGGCCAGGACCTTTGCCAAACTAAGCTGGGCCTTTTTGCAGCATGTTCATTAAAAGAAGAAAAACCACAGGAAACTCCATGATTCATTTCTGGACTCCCCACTTGGTGGTCTCTGCAGAAGAGACTTCGTTTAGATCGTGGCTTCCCTGCCTCACAGCGCTAGGCCAGGGCTGCAGTCATGACCCCTCCCCTTGAACCAGCATTTCGGTTCACGTTGCTCTGGACTATCCACATCACTGTTCCATTTATTATCACAGACGCCTCAAACTGAGCGCCTCAGAACGCTTTGCAGAGAAGTCGGTGCTTTTCCAGCTGGAGCCCTCGGGAGGCTTGTCAGCATTTGCAGTCCATCCTCTTACTCTCTGTAGAGTCTGAAGACATTGTGCTGTCCCCGGTCTCCAGCACAGCCGAACGAGCGCATGGCAGGCAGAACTCTCACTGCTGGCCAGAAGTAGTTTCTGGAAAGAGCAGCCTTTTCCCTCCTGTAACGGAGTGCCGTTGATCTGCCACATGACATAGTCCATAGGGGGCCAAGCTCTGCCTCCTCCACCCAGGCTATGCCCATGGGCCAAAGGTCCTACCTAAAGAAAGAGGCATGCTGGCCAGCCATGGCCTGGTGGTTAAGGTTGCTGGGTTCCACATGGCAGACTCTGTGGCTCAAATCTCAGACCCAGTGGCTTGGAAAACATTCCGAGCAGGACCAGCAGATGGCATAATGTTTTAGTCACTGAGTTCCCACATAGCCGACTGTAGTTTGAGTCTCGGACCCAGTGGCTTGAAACTCAAGCTAGGCGTGTGTGCATGTGTGCCCAAGGCCCCCGGGGGAGGGGGGAGTGGAGGAAAGGAATTGCAATGTGGTCATCCCGTCTGGGGGTGATTTCTCACTTTCCCTCTCACTGTCTCTGTCTTTCTCTCCAGCAAGTGCACACATCCTAAGGCAAAAACCTTTTAAAAAATAATTTTAAAAAGTAAAAGAAAAAGGGAACCAGCAGTTAGCGTAATGGCTATGTCGCTGGACTCCCACATAGTCGACCGCGGTTCGTGTCCCGGACCCGGTGGCTTAAAACTCACGCCGGGCGCGTGTGCGTGCGTGCCCAAGATCCCGAGAGGAGAATGGAGGAGAAGGGATTGCGGCGTGACCATCCCCCCCTGGGGGGTGATTTCTCGCTTTCTGTCTCTATGTCTCTCTCTGTCTGTCTGGTGAGCGCACATGCCCTACAGTGAAAATCTCTCCAAAAAAAAAAAAAAAAAGTAAAAGAAAAACATTCCAGGCATTTGTGCATGCCCAAACTTCCAAAAGGAGGGAGAGGTGGAGGAGGAAGGACTGAGGCATAGCCAGCCATTCCCTATGGAATGGTACTGGGGAGGGGTACTTTCTCTTTTTCTCTTTCTCTTTCTCTTTCTCTTTCTCTTTCTCTGTCTCTCTCTGTCTCTGTCTCTCGTGCGCGCTCCAGAGGCAAAGGTGGGCCAAGGCACAAGGCCTGAGGGAGGAGGGGCAGAGGTCAGAGGAACAACTCAAGGATGAACCCACAGGACTTGCGATGCCCTGGCCATGGCACCCCCTGCGCTCCCTCCTTCCTTCTCAGAACCCAGCACCTTCGGAGCTCAGGGCACGGACTCTTGCTCTTTGCATGAACGGGGAAACGGTGACGGTGTCTTTGGCACTGCTGCTGCGCCTTCTGGTGCACGGGCTTTCCCTGGCGGTCAGGGGAGGACAGTGACGGTACAGTTGCTGTGCGTCCTGGAGAAGGCGGGGCTCTCTGGCAGGATCCTGGCTGTTCACCACCAGTTTGCCCTGGGAGAACCACCTGACCACTCGCATTTGAACTCCGGGGCGATGGCCCCCTCGATGCTCTGTCCCAGCAGGGTTTATGGGACCCTCCACAGGCCCATTGCGGGGATGGCAGCACCACCAGGGAGTCTGGAGCCACCTTCTGTCCCCAACACAGTCCCCGGGGTGCCTGCTCCATAAGCAGCCCCCAGGGTGTGTGAGGGTTCCCTGGTGCCCATTCTCTGGAAATCAATCCTCCCTCTGCCCTTGCATGTGGTTAAGATAAAGACTCACAGGCTCTCCCAGAGTGCCCTGTGCCAGGCCACACCTGCGGACAAGCCAGGAACACATCCTGAGCCTTGGAGCCTAGAAACAGAGGGGTGTCTGTGGCCCTGGAGCCGAGCACAGCTGTGTTCCACCCTCTACTGCAGCTGCTATCGCTATCGGGCCAGCCAGGCCCAGGGCACCCCACGGCGCAGCTTCCCTAAGCTGCTCAGGACTCCCCATGAGTTCCGTAGAGGTTACGGTGGTTCCTTCACATTCGGCACCTCCCCTGCCTCCTGACAAGGGCAGTGCTGCAGGCAGCCTGCATAGTTTTGTTTCAGTTCTGTGAACAAGATGGTGATCCAGAAGACCCGAGTCTGCTGGGCAATGCAGGGGCTAGAACTGAGTCTCCTACTGCCCCGCTCAGGGCCCTGGCCCAGACCTGGCTGTGTGAGTGTGTTAGGCATCTTGACCCACGTGCTTCGCTACTGACCCACAGCTGGGTCCCTTCCCTTTTGCATCGGTAAGGCCTCGGCATCTGCAGGGAGCCCTGGTCTGGGGCAGGAGGGGTGGGTGTATGAGGCCCAGGGCAGAGACGGAATGAGGAGCAGGGCCTGGCAGAGCCGTGAGTACCAGACCCTCGCCACGAAAAGGACAGTGCCAGGCAGGAACAGGGTGTGTGAGTTGGAAGAGGTCTTAGCGGTCACGATCTCTCCTTCCATCCCTTTACAGAGGAGACCGAGGCCTGAGAGATGCTCGCGCCATTCTCTCTCTCCAGCACTCCACCCCTGCCTGGCACGGCCTTGTTTCTTCTGGTGGGGAGAAAGCGGGGGTGCGTGGGCGCTTGGTCATCGGGCGAGGTCACACCTGCTAGAAGTGCGTGTGGTGCCTTAACTGGCACCTGTGCCCTCTCTGTCTCACTTGGTCTTCACTGGCTGAAAGGCAGGTCTCCAAGACCTTGGCCTAAGTCCACAAGGAGTTGGTTTAAGGTGAAACAAAATCTACGACCCAGGCGCAGTGGGCAGGACACGTGTGCTCACTCTGGAGAGAGAGGGAGACACAGCGAGACATCCCCTCCGTGGACGAGGGTCAGGCCACAGTCTCTTCTCTTCCGTTTCTCCTTTTGGGCTTTTGGGCATGCACACATACACCCTGCTGGGTCCGGGTCTGGAACCACCCAGTCGGCCGTTTGGGATCTGACCACCGTAACCATCATGCCACTGGATGGCCTGGTTTCCTTTTTCTTTATTGTAATTAAAAACAATTAAAAAGCATCTGTGCCCACATGTCTCTTGGGTTTGACAGGACACAGAGCGAAAAAAAAGGCCCGCAGTCAGGAGCTGGAGCAGAAGCTGTCGAGCAAGGAGCGGGAGCTGGAGCAGCTCATCCAGGAGCGGAAGCGGGTACGTCGCCGCTGCGACCTCGGGACACCTGGCTCTTTGCTCCGTTCTTGTCTTTGGCTTCTGCCCACTTCTGCCATTCACTGAAAGCTTTTTTAAAATCTGAATGGCACCGAAAGTTATACAAAAGGTAGCAATTCAAAACACAGATGCTCCCGAGAAAGCTTTCTTTCGCCAATGCCAGGTGTTTGACTTCAGAAGTTTCCAAGAACTCCCCCCACAAGAAATCTGCAGACATTTTCATATAATTATACCCCAGAGCTACCAGAAAGCCAAAATCCGAATTTGCTTCTTTCCTCCTGCGTAAGAAAGGTGGAACTGAGGCTCAAGGCGCCTTGCGGGATCCCCGACGTTGCCAGGAGGCTGCGACAGGGCTCTGCCCTCCAGGCTGGCCGTGGATACCTCCCGCTGTCTGTCTGTCTGCTGTCTGCCCATGTGCCTGGACGAGTTCCTTGGCCTCCTTCATGACGGCCCCAGAACGCCGCGGAGGGAATACAGGCCGCAGACGCCACTCTCTCACGTACCTGCACCACCAGGGGGTGCACTCTGCAGGGTGGGGTTGCTGGGGCCCCAAAAGCCTGGGCGTGACCCCCAGAAGATGGCTTCCCCAGACAAACTCGTGCTTAGTGGCCTCCTCTCCGTGACAAGGGCTCCTTGGAGAGAGGCCAGGGTACCACTGTCCTGTCTGGTTTCATCTCCGGCTGGGAGGGATCCAGCCCTGGACAGACCCAGATCCATTGCTTCCGTTTGAATGGACAGGGCTATTTTTAGCAGCACGTTAAACCGTGCTACAAGATCCCCCAGCTAAGGCTGGAGCCGGTCCCACAGCCGCTGCTGCCCGGGGGACGTGGGGCCCGTCCCTTCTGCAGCAGGATAATCCCAACTTGGAAGCTGCCGGCCGCCTTCCTGTCCCCTGCCCACAGCGCGCCCTGCTTCTCTGACTCCTTTTCCTCTTCTGTTACGCATTGCGTTCTTACCAGTTAGAGTGATCCCTCGAATGAATGATTGCCACTTGATTTAATTACTGCGTGCTTGCCTGATGACACCAGAGCCTCTTGAGAATCACACAGAATTCCTTGCTGTTTCCTGCTCCCCATATTGGCCGTGTTCATTAAATGAAGTTTATTATGATATGTTTACTTCATTCGATTCTTCCTCTGGTGAGAGGCGTGGAAGCTCTGCAAAGCACAACCCCAGCCAAGGCAAGCGGAAGTTATTAAAATGTGTTTACTTAAGTTGCTTTAGTGACATGAGGAAAGGCTTATATTCTGTTTGACCTGTTTCAGTTATTCTGGTAAGAATGTCCGCGGTTTCTGGCCACTCTACAAAGTGTCTCTAAATGAAAGAAGTTGGACTCATTTAGCTGAGCGAACAAAAGGAAATAAATAGATTGCTTATCAGCATTCAAATTTGGGGAGGATGGTTTTATGAAGAATGCCAGGACCAGCAGTTAGCGTAATGGCTATGTCACTGGACTTCCATGTAGTCAACCGAGGTTCGAGTTCCAGACCCGGTGGCTTAAACTCATACCAGGCGCTTGTGCATGTGTGCCCAAGATCCCGAGAGGAGAATAGAGGAGAAGGGATTGTGGTGTGGCCGTTCTCCCTGGAGGATGATTTCTCGCTTTCTGTCTCTCTGTCTCTCTCTCTGTCTGTCTGGCAAGCACATGTGCCCTACAGCAAAAACCTCTCCAAAAAAAGAAAAGAAAAAAAAAAAGAATGCCACTTTATTATTCCCCATCTCCAATCAAAGACCAAGGAGAAGAAGTATAGTGGGAGGACAGTAGGGGAGGGACAGCGGCGCAGCAGTAATGCAACCTCTACAGGGCTGACCCACGTGGGAAGGTTCTGGGTTCGTGTCCAGGTACCTCCCTGAACACACACACGCCTACGATCTGGGGTTGGCTAACACTGCGGGCAGATCAGAGCATGAAGACCCTCTTGGAGACGACTCTCTCTCTCTCTCTCTGTCTCTGTGTCTCTGTCTCTCTCACTCATGAAGGAAAGAAAGAAACTTGAGAGGGACTTAGGTTAAATCTCAAGGCTGAGCTGACTTTGCGATGAGAGACACAGACAACCGTGGAACCCCTTTGCTAGGAGCCTTTTTGAACGAGACAGCTCCCACTAGACAGCTCAGTGGTCTCAGGGAGGGACGAGATGTGCTCTGAAACTCTTTCCTGTCCACAGAAGTGAACGTGTGAATGAAGGAGCAGGACCATGCTGGGGTAGGCTGGAGGCCAGCGAGGGCTAGCAGTGGCAGTCCCTGTTCTCCAAGTGAGAGAAACAGGGCGTGGCTGGGTTAGAAGGATGCTCAGCACCCCCGTCCCCTTTCCTTCCCAGCTGGAGGGCCAGTGCGCCGCACTGCATAACGACACGCGTGAAACCAAGACCGAGAATGCCAGGCTGAAACTCACTAACCAGGAGCTGGCCCGAGAGCTGGAGCGGATCTCCCAGGAGCTCCAGGATACTCAGCAGCAGCTGGAGAGCCACCAGCAAGAGGTCTGCAGGCTGCACCAGGAGAAGGAGATGTGAGTCTGCCTTTCCCATGCCCCCTGCTGCCCTCGGGCCCCACCTCGCATGCCACCCCCTCTCCAGGACCCTGGCTCCTTGCTACAGTGTGGGGAGTTGGGCTTGTTGCTCCCCGAGACCACGCCCACCTCTCTGCCTGGAGACTAAGGCTAGTGAGCAGGTCAGTACTGTGCTGAGCATCGCCTAGGGCTGACAAGCAATGGACGAGCCTGGCCAGGAACAGTACTAGGTGCTCAGAAAGACATGTAGGAGTAGTTAGGGGAGCCGGATCCCGCGTGGGTGACAGCAGTTTGAATCCCGTCCCTGTGTCGTGGGACACATGCCGGACACATGTGCCTGTATGCCCCAAATACTTACGGGGTGGAGAAATGGAGAAGGGATTGCGGCGTGACTGTGGCCCGTGGCTGGATTATGCTGCCAGGTTGGCTCATGTGCAGAACTCTGTCCCGTTTAGGACGGATTACCTGGCCTGGAAGAGAGGAAGCGTGTTTGGATTGGGGCTCTTACCCTAGTTCGGTATCTCCAGTTAAAACAAAAAGGAAAGCAGACAAACAAAAACCTCCCCAAGTGGCTGACATACAGGCCGACATGGCCCCTCCCTCCTGGCTCCCGGGTGACCCTGGGTGACCCTGGGGAAGGACACCGAAACAGCAGTCAGTTCAGTGCCTCCTCCCTGAGGGCAGGTACAGCTCGAGCGTTTAGCATGACAAACAGAGGTAAGGATTCAGGCTCTTAAATTCCACGGGGTCCTAAAAGCGCCAATGTCTGGAGGCGCCCGCCTTAGGACAGCAAAGGAAGAGCACAGCCCTGTGGAGCCTGCCATGGCAGAGCGAGGATCAGAGCTTCCCGAAGTCTTATCTTAATTAAGCAAGCCAGAGACGCCATCTCTGGAGGCTGGGAATTGAGAGGGAGGGGAGGAGGGTTGGAGGAAGAGAGATACCACTCCAGAACCTTTGTGACTGCGTCTGTGCGAAAGCATCCTGGGCCCAGGAGAGCCTGCCATGTCCGGGGAGCCCTAGCCTGTCCTCCGTGCAGCAGAGGGCCGACAGCTGCCGCCCAGGGGCCTCGCTGCTCTAGTCCACCGTCTGCACTGTACAGCTGAAGAGACCGAGGCTCAGAGAGGGGTACTGACCACTGCGGAGCCACACAGCAGGTAGCGGAGGAGAACAGGGACAGAACTGCTTCTGAAATCCCCGTGCTGCCCCAGCCAGGTCGCAGTTTGAGGCTGCTCCAGAGCAGCTGGGAGGGGATGGCCAGAGGTCAGAGGTGAGCAGACTCACTCGTTAATCTGCAAGAATTTCCCTGTTCTCTGAAGACGACGAGGTAGGAGGAGGAGATCCTACGAGGAGGTGAGGGAGGCAGTCTCAGACAGAGACATAAGGTAGAGGAAGGTCGTTGGACAAGCGGCAGCTCTGTTTATTGTTTAGCTTTCGTTCTGAGTAGGCAGTTTATGAACAGGCAGAAAATCCCAAAGGATTACACTCAAAAAACAGCTCTTCCTCCTCACCATGACGGCTGTTGCCAGTCAGCCAGAGGCCGCCAGTCACGGCGTCCTGCGGATCCTTCCAGAGAACGCGATGTTGTGTAACACGCCTGCACAGGTACACGCGTGCTTGCACACACACACGCTGTTTTCCTTTCCAGAATGGTAACATCCTGTTCCACCTTTGCTTGATATTTTTTCACTTGACAAGATATTTTGTTCTGTATCTCATTCTTCTGCTAAAAACAGAACCGACTGCAGCTCCCTAGAGGTAACCATAAACCTTACACAAATCACTACTTCAAAAGGCAGTAAGTTGGGCCAGCAGGTGGTGTGGTGGTTAAGGCGCTGGACCCTCCACATGGCTGACTGAGGTTCGAGTCCCAGACCCAGTGGTGCAAAACTCATGCCGGGTGGCTTTCCCGAAAGGAGAATAGAGGAGAAGAGATTGCAGTGTGGCTATCCCCCTTAGGGGATGATTTCTTACTTTCCCTGTCTGCTTCTGTCTGTCTGTTCCTCTCCAGTGAGCACCTTATGGCAAAAATGCAAAACTGTAAAAATAAATAAATAAATAAATAAGCAGCAGATTCCATTCGGTTTACATAGTACCCAGGCATAGATTTTTAAAACCTCTTCATTAGAAGGACTTTACAGGTCACTTAGTCAAATACCCAAGTGTGCTAACAAAAAATGCTTTTATACAATAAATACAATAAATATTAATAAATACATATAATTAACAATACATATTTATAAATATATAAAAATATTGAATATATATTATATAAAGCTATATATCCAAATAGCTATGCACGCATTTTTATGCACGCACATATATTTGCATGTGTAGGTCGAGCACCCCTAGTCCAAAGCTCCAGAGTTTGAAGCTGTGTGAGCACCCACGTGATGCCGCACTGGGAAGTCCCACGCCTGACCTTGCGCAGCGGGTCCCAGTCAGTCCGCTGCAGTGGGAGATACGGCATGGGATTACCGTCAGGCCACATGGACAGGGTGTGTGTGAGACATAGCGGACCTCATGATTAGACGTGGGTCTCATCCCCAAGACATCTCATTACGTCTAGGCAAATGTTCCCAAATCCAAGAGAACTCGGAACCTGAGATGCTTTCAGCTAAGCATTTCAGATAAGGGAGATTCTACCTGTATACATATTAGGTTGTCGGGAGAGTCATGATGTGTTTTTCTAAGCAAAAACGCATCACAGCTTTCCAGACAAACCAACACCTGTGTGTGTGTGTGTGTGCACACATGTGTATGTGTGTGCATGTGTGTAGACGTGTGTGCATACTTGTATATGTGTGCAGATGTGCATGCGTAGATATACGTGCACTTGCGTGTGCATGTATGTGTGTATATATGGATATGTGCACACGTGTATGTGGTATGTGCATGCATGTGTGTGGTATGTACATGTGTGTGTGCGCATGCATGTGTGTGCACATGTGTATGTGGGGGTGTGTAGCTTCCACTGCTGACTGGTGCTATGTAGACAGGCCCAAAGACGACCTGAACACCTTGTCATGGAGGAGCTGGCTCCTCGGGCAGACACTACCCAGAGCCGTTTTCCTTAGCAGGGAAAGCTGCTCCCGGCCTCCCCTAGGAGAAGCAGACCTGGTGGTCGGGCAGGGAGTGCAGAGCCTTCAGGCCAGGCTCAGGCGAGCTCCATGGCCCAGGCCCAGTGAGGAGCAGGACCTGCTCATGTGGGTCCTCCTAACCAGAGCAGAGCGCTAGACAGGGGTTCAGGGGCCCAGTCTGGAGAATGGGAAATGCACAGCGTTCCCTCACGTTGGAATGAAAATAATTGGTAATGGCAGCTCTGCAGGAGCCGGAGAAGTCTCGTTGCTTAATTAGGATTGTCTGAGGTGAGCTTGGCTTTTTGATTCAGCCTGTTACTGTCGTAAATTGCCTTTATAATTATTCTATAAAGGGAGAAAAAGCCAAGAAACACAGATGCCACTTAAGGGATCGAGTCCTTAGGAGCTTGCCGAGTGCCCTGAGGCCCCGGGATGCGGGTGCTGTGTTCACCAGCTCAGGAATGGCACCAGTGGAGGGGTCAAGGGTGACTGTCCTGCCCAGTCCAGGGCCTGCCCAGCCAGGCGTCCCCGGCAGCCTGTGGGAGTGGCACACTGATTAGGCCGCAGGACACACCTGATGCTACGAGCTGTGTGGTTTTGGAAATGGGAGTTATGAACCCTTGGTGGGCAGATAGAGAGCGATTTCAGACTTGGTAAGGGAGGGCGAGGAGCAGAGGGGGAGCCGGAGCAGACCCTGGAGCTAGGCAGGCTCCCCAGTGTCACCTGCGTCTTTGTTTTCCTGTCCTCTCTCCCCGCAGGGTGCTGAAGGCCTCCCAGTTCCTTCCTCCCTTCTCCCCCCCCTTCCCTCCCTTTCTTCTTCCCTCCATCCCCCTTTCTGTCTTTCTCTTCCTTCCCTCCTCCCTTTCTTTTCTCTTCCCTCCCCTTCTCCTCTCTTTCCATTCCTCCCTTCTCCCCTTCCCTCCTCCCTTCTCCCCCTCTTCTCTGTGCCCTCCGGCCCCCTTACCGGGCTCCTCTTCTGGCTCCCTGCAGCCCGTTGCTGCTGCCCCTCCGTGCCCGCTGTGTGCTGAGGACACAGATGCTGTCTGAAGGGGCCCCAGCACCAAACAGGAGCGGGCAGTTCCACAGAGGATTGGACACGGGTTTCACAGCAGAGGGTAGCTTACCGCGGGGGGAGATCCGTCCTCGCACCTCCCAGCTGCAGATCCTGCCCTCTCCCTCAGCAGGCTGGAACTGTTCCAAGTATGGCGGGTGGTGTGGAAGTTAAGGTGCTGGATCTCACATGATCAGCTTCATGGTTTGAGTCCCAGACCCGGCGGCTTGAGAATCACGTTGTGCACGTGCCCCAAATCCCAAGAGGCGAGTGGAAAGGGATTGTGGGGTATTTATCCCCCCTGGGGGGTGATGTTTTTACCTCCCATCCACCCTTTCTCTCTCTGGCAGGTCAACCACGGAGCCACTGCCCTGGGGTCAACGATCATTCGTTTTTCTTTTCTCACCTTCCTCGTTTTTCCTTCACCACCAGTGGCACAAGCCGTTGCCATGGTGAAGCACTGTGTGACTGTCTCAGGTGACCACATACATAGGGCCCAGCTGGGCAGGAAGCTCAAGGACTAGCAGGGGTGACACCATGCCAGGGATGAGAGGACACAAAGGTGGCGTCAGTTTCACAGATGGAGTCCATGTGGCACAGTCACACAGAGGGCGACACGCCGGGCATGGCCCCGCCTCTCAGCACCGCTGCCCCACCCGCCGTCACCCACACAATGGCCTTTCAGCTCCTCTCTGCCCTTCCTCCAACCCCGATATGGTAGACGCGCACACCCTGCTGTCAGAGATGTCACCACCAAGACAAACCCCTACGTTACGCCCAAGATCAGAAATTCCAAGTTGGGGCCAGCAGGTGGCGTGGTGGTTGAGGGCGCTGGGCTTCCACATGGCCAACTGCAGTTTGAGTCCCAGACCTGGCGGCTTGCTTTCTCACTTTTTCTCACTCTGTCTCTCTCTGGCCATATTAAAATAAACAAATAAATAAAGTTAAATAAAATAATTCTTTTAAAAAAGAGAGAGAAATTCCAAGTCAAAGAAATGAATGCCCAACAGTGGAAAATTCATATATCTAGGTAGGGACAGAGCACTGATCGTTCCAGAGCTTCTAAGAGCACCTAGGGTGGGAGGGAGGACGGGAGAGAAATTCTGCTTTTACTCTCCAAGTCGGGGCTGGAGGAGAACGCCGGCTCCAGACCCTGGAGTCTGGGTAGGGCGGGAGGTTCGGAGCCTGGGGAGGCAGTGCCGTTTCCAGCACTCAGAGATGTGTGAGGTGGCGGCGAGGGGGCGGGTTTAGTGGGAGGAGGTTAGAGGAGGCCTGGGGCGTGGGCGTGGGTCGTCCATGTGACCTGGAGAGTGAGGGTGCATCTTCCACTCTCACATCTGTCAGCAGGATAATGTCACCTTTCAGGTAGGGGCTCTGTGAGGGGATAGTGGCTGTAGGTACCCCAGATGGAGGCCACATTTCTCTGATCCCCCCCACCCACTTCGGGCGCCATCGGCCTCCATCAGGGGCCATCAGCCTCCCTTTGGTGCAGCCTCACCTTTGCTAAGGTCCTCCCCGGAAGGCCACCCCTCGCCTCCTCACTCTGTCCTCGCTCTCCCCAGGGAAGTGTACCGTGTGACGGAGAGTCTGCAGCGGGAGAAGTCGGGCCTCCTGAAGCAGCTGGACTTCCTGAGGTGGGTTGGCGTTGCCTGCTTTCTCAGGCTGGAAGGGCGGCTCCGGGAGTGAGTGCTCTGTCCATGTGCGGGGAAGCACTGCGGAGAGCAGCCTCGCCCGGCTCCTGCACCCCAGCTCCCGGCATGCAGGGTGGGCCGCTCTGTGATGTTTGGTCCCTGTGTGCACAAGCCCACCGCCTCTCTGCCTCCTCCTCTGCTTGCTCCACCTCCCTCAGTTCTTCACTCCCCGGGCTGGGACGGGGTCCAGCACGGGCCCTGGCCATACCAACCACCTAGCCCAGGCCATGTCGGTGATCACGTCCATCCGTACCTGTTAGGTAGAGGACAGTTGTCATGCTGACACAGGAGTTAACTGCCGAGGACGTTGACACGAGAGACGTGAAGTCATTTACCCAACGTGGCACGGCCACGCACGGTTGGAGGCAGAACTGAATCTGTTCCCGGCTGAACCTTCTCACTTGGCCACGTTCTCTTTGCATTTGTTGACTGAGTAAATTAATTACCTTTCCTTGGCCTTCTCGTTCTCACTGCAATAAATTCCAGGTTCACTGTCCTGGAATGTCCCTCCAAGACCAGCCCGTGTGAAGAAGCACGGAATTTCTGGAACCACACCTGCCGCCTGCTCAACTCCGCTCGGGCAGGGCAGGGAGGCGGGGGACTGTGGTTTCTGGTGGTTACAGTGCATGTGGTTTTGAGTCACCTCCCAGGTACTTTATAAAGTTTTTCTCTTTGTGAGGGAAGGGCAGGTTGCCGAGTGCGGCATCTGCGCATTAACCTGAGTGCATTTCAGATCCACTCCTCTCAGCACGACCGGACCTGGCCTCCGGCATCCGGGTGGCAGGCTGCTCCGGTAGCCGAGAGCCGACTGGTTAAGAGGAGGCCTTGGCTCTCAGGAAGCCCTCAGTAAGGGAAGGAACAAGAAGTGCAGGGTGCATTTAGGGATTTCTTTTTCTTTGTTATACACAGAAAAAAGAATTTAAAAAGTGGATTGGGAGAGAAAGAACAGGGGAGAATGACAGAACAGCACTCTGCAAATACTGGGTTGGTGGAAAAGCTGCGACACATTCTTACACAGAAATTTACGTATGTCTTCCGTGGTGACCAGCGTTCATGCAGACCCTCACGCGGCCTGGCTACGCTATACACAGTTCCCAAGCTTGACCCCTGCTCGTGGGTGACAGCTGAGACGAGAGGGGAAGGCCCCGGGGTCACTTTTGCCTTCCCAGTGAAACCACCAGGAATGCAGGGGAGAGAGAATGCAGGGTGGGGGGTGGCCGCAGCAGTGTGGAGGGGGTAGGAGGACCAGGACAATGACTGGCATGTGACGGCGTGGGGAGTGCTGCCACCCTGATGCCAAGGGGGTGGGCGAAGCAGTGGCAGGTCACTGGGTTAGGAACATGCACTGGCCGGGTCTGCTCTGAGACCCAGCATGGCCCCTCGTGAGCCATGACTGTGGGCACTGGACTTACCTGGGGTCTCGGCGTTCTCAGGCCAAGCCCCCGGCTTCTTTTGAGAACTGGATACTGTGGACGTGAGCAGGCAGGGGTGCGGGGCAGCGCTGCAGATAAAAGCGGGTGTGTTTAAGGAGCTCCACGTGTCCTTACACCTGCACACAGAAATGGTGTGGAGGGCAGGCGAGCACACGGCATTCTCTACTCCCGTGTGCCCTCCCGGGTCTCCCGAGTCCGTACCTGGGGTGGGGCTACTAACGTACTGCCTGCCCGGGGCGAGGCTGCCTCTGGCGTGCAAAGCTCTCTGGCTTTCCCGTGGTTTACCAGATACCTGCCGGTAACTGCAGACGGCTCGGCGCGTTCCCAGTGTTTTCTGCCAGGCTGGGGGATGGGAGTCAGTGGCTCAGGCTGTCACCCCTCGGGTCTGGCCGGACTCCATTCCAGCAGTACACAGCACGGTGTGAACACAGTGCCTCGCCACAGGAGTAGCCAGCGGCCCGGGGCGCCTTCCCACCCCCTTCCAGAGGCCGCTGGCAGATAGTCATAGACACAGAACTGCGCGAGCTGAGAGGCCGTTGGGCCCTACTCTTACCCTCCCGGCCACAAACCTCGGCCCCCCGCAGCCACGCTGCGTCCCGAGTCTGTTCATGTCCCCGCCCTGCTCTCCTGTTAGGCCTCCAGCACTCCCTCTTTCACCCCCTTGCTTAGGCCCCTGTCACGGAGAGAGCAGAGCCACCACCAAGGACGTCTGCTGTGCCCACCTGTGCCCACACCTCTGCCTTCGCCGCCGTGGGTGCACTCCCCACACTCCCAGCAACCACCTGCTTGCCCACTTGAGTGCCAGGATTGGACCCCACCCCTCTTGCTTCCTCTAGGACTGTTCCGGCATCTGCTCTCTCTCTCTCCTCCACTGTCAGCTTCTCTTTGGGGAGGGGGGGGGG